GGAAAAACTGGATTTCCACCTGCAGAAAGATGAATCTGAACCCCTACCTCTCACCTTTGGCAAAAATCAAGTCAAGGTGGATCAAAGATCTAAATCTAAGACCTCAAACTATAAAACTGCTCCTGGAAAACACTGGGGAAACTCTGGAAGTCATGGGGGTAGGAAAAGACTTCTTAAATAAGACCCCCAAAGCACAGTTGATAATCCTAAAAATAGACAAGTGGGATTGCATTAAACTAAGAAGTTTATGCATGGCAAAAGACACAGTAATTCGTGTGAATCGACAGCCCTCAAAATGGGAAAATATTTTTTGTAAATTATGCATCAGATAAGGGACTGATAACCAGAATACACAAGGAACTCAAGCAGCTGTTTGGGAAAAAGATGATCAACCCTACTAAAATATGGGAAAAGGAGTTGAAAAAAACACTCTCTGAAGATGACATATGAATAGCCAAAAGACATATGAAAAAATGCTCAATATCCCTCATCGTAATGAAATGCAGATCAAAACAACAATGAATCCCCAAACCCCAGTTAAAATTTTTAAAATTTAAAAAAAAAAAAAAAAAGATAAATGTTGGTGGGGGTGTGATGAAAGGGGACCTCTCTTACACTGCTGGTGGGAATGTAAATTAGTCCAGCCACTGTGGAGAACAATTTGGATATTCCTCAAAAATCTACAAATAGAACTGCCATATGATCCAGCAATCCCACTCCTTGGTATCTACCCAAAGGACAGAAGAATTCTTCATTGGAAAAGTGATTGCACATCGATGTTTATTGTGGTACTATTCACAATTACTAAAACATGGAACCAACCCAAATGCCCCTGAACAGATGAGTGGATTGAAAAACTGTGGGACATATACTCTATAGAATACTATTCAGCCATAAAAAAACCCCTGTCTTTTGACAGAAAGTGGAAGAATATGGAAGATTTGCTGATGACTGAAGCAAGCCAGGCTATATGAAGGAGAGACATTGTATGTCCCCACTTAATATATACCAAGTGTCCACACTCTATGGCTGAAACTGATTGACTAAAAGATATACAAACACAATAAATGGGTGTAAATACCAGGTAAAATGTGTGTGAAAGAGTAGGGCCTGAGGAAGGGCATTTTGAAGAAAAATTTAGAGGTGAAACATTAATGGGACAAAGAAATGTGGTATTATCAGTTGAAGATATATTTTAATCAACTGGACTAGGGAAAAATGTTCAAATATTTCACAAAGTTAAATATTCACTTTGTGAGCTTAAAAATGTGATTGAATGTATAAAAAAATTAAATAAAGAAATAAAGAACAAAAGATAATGTATGTCTCCACTTAATATATACCACACTCTGTGGTAGAGACTGAAAGATTGAAGAACATAAAAATAGTGAAAATAATTATGGATGCTGGAGACAATAAAGAAAGAGGGCAGGAGAAGAGAAGAGTATACGGAAGGAAACCAGGGAGAAAAAGTAGAGAGGCAAGATATTTGTGGAACACAGAAATGGTTACCTGTTGATGATAACATGTATAGTATTTTCAACTGAACTGGTCTGAGATGTATTTCGTGTTGGATAAATTCTCTTTACAAGCCAAATGATGTAGAGCGATTGAAAGTTTTTTAAAATAATAATAAAAAGAAAAAGAAAAAAGAAATTGCTTGTTGTGAGCAAAAAATAAAGACCCAGGCTGACTGCTGCCAGAAAATAAATAAATAAATAAATAAATAAATAAATAAATAAAGTGATTGAATGTATAAAAAAAATTAAATTAAAAAAAAAAAAAGGTTTCCAAAGAGAATCCCAGGGCACCTACGGGAAATCAGCATTCACTACCATTCACTGCCTAAGTGTCTGTGCCCTACATTCCAGTCAATTCTGCTTGACTATCACAGCCATGGCTCAGACAGCCAGAGCTACAACACAGAACACAGCTCCAGAGGGCACAAGCTGTAACACTTTGGTGGCACGCACACAGCTCTAACTCTGTAGATGCACAGTGTGCGGGTTGTGGGGCCATGGCACACACCTTAATCTCAAAGAAAGTCAAATGGCCTGGGGATCCAGACAGAGACTTGTCAGAGTGAGAAAATTACCACACTAAGTTCACACTAGGACAAAGACTAGAGGAGCCATGGAGGTAGGGTGACCATTGAGATCCCCAAATTGTAGGGCCACCATGTACAAACCCAGAGAGAGCTGCTGGGTGGACTGAAGACAGAGGCCCTAGGGGCAAGGCTACCAGTTGTCTCAGAGTCCTGTCTTCATCCTGTCCCAAGATTCCCAAGATATGGAACATGGAGTCAAACGAGATTATTCTCTAACTTTAATACGTAATGTTTGTTAGGATTTGAATGTCCCCCACCACCACCAAAAAAATTCATGTGTTGGGATTTGGTTATGTATGACAGATTGAGAGGATGTAAATATAATACAACTGTGATGTTGAAAGGTATGGTCTTTGGGAAGAGATTAGGATTAAGGTCATTAGGGTGAGCCCAGTAATTGAAGCTGGTGCACTTACAAGAAGAGAGAAAGAGACAAGCACAGGAGCACACAGACACGCACACACATCTTTTGCTCTTTGTCATGTCATCTGCCAGCAGGAAGATCCTCACCAGATGTGGGCCCTAGACTTTGGACCTCCAAATTGTGAACTGGATAAAAACTCTATTCTTATAAATCAGCCAGTTTAAGGTATTTTGAGTTTTGTTTATTATTATTATTATTTCTTCTAGGAGCAAGAGGGAGGGAGACAGACAGTATTCCAGCAGGATCCTAACACTGCAATCCACCCCAGTTTCAACCAACCCCAGATCATGGGCATGCACATGCCAGGCATACACAGGGAGGGTCTCCAGATACAGACCTAGAACCTTCTCATGTGGGTCAGCCTCACAGAGAGCTGTGTTTCACTACTGCACCACCGTCTCCCCCCTCCCATTTTCTCTTTTTAGCAACAGGATGGACTAAAGGATTGATCTTTATCCTTCTGGGTTTTGAACTTGCTTGGGGCCTTTTGCTCTTTTATTCCTACCTATTTCTCTATTTTGAAATGGGAATGTCTAATCCCACCCTTGTATTAGTTTGTTGGAAATGTTATGACATATTGTCTTATGCAAAAATGCATCATGACCTTTCCAACAAACCAATATTCTGCAAGTAGATAACTTGTTTAATTTCACAAACTCACAGCTGGAGAGAAATTTGCCTCAGGATAAACAATGCCTTGAATAACACACATATCTTACTTTTATTGTTGTTGTTTAATTTTTAAAATTTTAAGTATTTCTTTTTTTTATTTTTTAGTATTTAATCGCTGTATGTTTCCACATCATAAAAAGGAAATCTTTCCAGAATGAATATGCTGCATATCAGTTGAGACAAAAATGTTACCTACACATAATCGACACATATCTTATGTATATGAGATTTTGAAATTTGAAGCTGACACATTTCGTGTTGTGAGAAGGACATGAATTTTGTGAGCCAGGGGCAAAATGTTATTGTTTGAATGCATTCTTGTTCATGTGTTGGGAACTTAATCTCCAGTGCCACAGTGCTGACAGGTGGGACCTTTAAGAGGTGATCAGGCCATGATTACATTACTCTTGTGAGTGGATCAAGGCTGTTATTGCAGTGTAGATTAAATATCACAGGAGCAGGGTCCTGTTGAAAGGGTGAGTTTGACCCCGTTCCCTTCTCTCTCTCTCTCTCTCTCATACACACACACACAGACACACACACTCCACAAATGCACACACTCTTGCCCTTTCACATTCCACCATGGGATGATGCACCAAGAATTACTTGTCAGTTGCTGTCAACTTGATTTTTAACTTCCAGTCTCTAGAACTACAAGAAATAAATTAATTTTCATTGTAAATTACCTCGTCTCTGGCATTTTGTTAAAGCAACATAAAAGGGACTAGGCTAGATGAGGATGTGATGACAGGACAGGAAGCACCTCCACCCCATCCCTGCCATCATCCCTGCAGACTGGCCTAGGGAGCCCCCAGCATCCTCTCACCCTCTCACTGTGGCTGGCCCTTCGTTTGCTGGGGTTGGAACTCACCATCATATTGGCATGCCATTGTAGCTTGAATTCCTGTAAGAAAAATGCATAACTATGTCATTTTAGGGAAATGGAAAGTTACTAGCATGCCAATCTCCTATAGCCAGCATTTTTTTTTAACATAAACTTGATACTTTGATTTTTCCTGCCCCATTTCCCAAAACTCTCTTCAACTTTCCATTTTCAGTCTCATTTTCAAATCATTCCTTTCTTTTCTGCCACATAATCAGAAATTATTCCATTGTTTTCTTAGCACTAGTTCTAGCCTTATGCCCCTCTACCACCACCAAATGAATATTACTGTAATGCCTGTTACAGGTGTAGTCTGGAGCCTGTACCTTGCTCAGAGTTCCAACTTTTATATCCCACTCAGCTTCTCCATCTGATGATTCATGAGCATCTCAAACAGAACATGGCCAGAATTAAACCCACAACCTCCGCCCCAGCCCGCCCTGCCACCTTGATCCTTAGAATCATCTGTAGAACCTAGTGGTCATCTGTAGCTCTCATTTCCTCATGTTCTAATCGGACATCACCAAATCCTATTGATTCTGCCCTCAAGAATTCAAAAGTATTCATTTCTCTCCTTCTTTGTGCCATTCCAGTCCACTGTCATTTGTTTGCAATGTAACAAACTCCTATCTGACATTTCACCTAAAATCACTTTTCAATTGTTCAATTAGGTGTTATTTTACAATTGAAACTGATTTTTTTTTCTATTTAAATCCCCGGGTGGCTTCCTGTTGCTTATAGAAGATGGCTTAAATCCTTGGAATGGTCCATAAGGTCCTGGTTATCAACCACTTCACTCTAAGGCTTTAGTCACAATGGCCTCCTCAATGTTCCTGGGATCCTCTAAGCTCCTTCCAACTTCTAGGCCTGTGCGTATCTGTCCCTTCCCCCTAGAACACTCCCATCAAAGGCCTCCAACGTGCTCAGACCTCAGGCCACAGCTCTCCAGCCAGGCCTTCTCCAACATGTATTCTCCAACCCTATCGCCAAACAGCAGACCCAGCTCAGATGTGGTCCACCTGTGATTTGGTCTACTCATGCCCCAGAGGGTCTCTTAGAGAGTGGACCTTACAGCAGGGAGTGACGTGTGTGACTTTTTACCATCTCCCCTTAAACCATAAGCTTTGCTATGGGATGGCTGTGTGCGTCTCCTATTTCTCTTCATTTCCCAGCAACAAGCCTAACACTGTGTGTGGCTTTGTGGGGATGGAGGGACATCCAAGCTGAGCCCCGTATATGTCCCAATGTTTGTTTTCTCACAGCTCCCCAAGAGCTAATTTAGCTCACTCACTCAACTATCCTTGGGAGAGTCAAGTCAATTTACAAATTCTATATCTGTAAAAAGATTCATTCATTTATGAAACAACTATTCTCTAAGCAGCAGCCCCTGATATAAGGTTCGTCTCCAAAACTGATTACAATCTAAACTCAACAAAGAAAGGAAATAGGAAACAAGAAATACACTCTGAGAGCAATTTTTCTAGGAGGTTTAAGAGATAGACCCAGGAGAAGTCTCAAAAAAAATTTTAAGGGTAATTCTCAATAAATATTCTTGTAAGTAAGTAAATTGATAAACAATATCACTGCTTTTTTTCTCTCTGTTTGATCATTATGTCCAACACATATTCGAACTGTAAAGTGACAATCTTTTCCTTAGTAATCAAGGCTCATGTCATAGAAAGGTGGTATTGATTTTTTTATGTTTCCTGTCATTGCTACCTACGAACATTTTTGGAGGGTGGATGCTTGAAAAACTCTTAGGAAGAGACTGTGACTAGGACAGGCTGGGCAATGTTAGGTGATAAGGGCGAGGTCACCAAGCAGAAAGCCATCACATACAAATTTGAAACACTGTTAGAAAGCTGAATACCTCTTTTGAAAGAGGGTTAGGGTTATGTCTTTGTCCCTTAGGAATAGTGAGCAAGAAAGCACTTCCTGTAAATTGGAAGTCATATCATACAATTTCTAAAGCTCAGCTTTGTCCACTAAGTTGATGTCGGTGATTGGTGTCAAGGAAGTTGATAGAAACCAGCAACAGGAAAACACAGGGGCCTGGGATGGGTCTTAAGCCCCCTTCCAGGGCACCGCTCTGTTCTGCTGCTCTGTGGATTCTAAGGCAGATGCAAAATTGGGAGCCCATGCCTCTGTGAGTGCAGACGTCAGGGTCTTAATTCTCTTTCCTCTGCTTAAAGAACAGGCATTCAAGGTCCCCAGCTTCCACTGAAGTGCAGAGAGTCTGGAGATGGACTCTCCCTCCTCCTACATTTTTAAGGGGAACTCCACTGCAGTGAGCCCACATGAGACTGTCCCTGAGGAGGCAGGTTTCCAGGGGGCAGATGTGAGCAGAGTCTTTGGGACTGCAGTCTCTGATCTGGACTGCACATGGGCTTTGGGAGTTGCATGCCGAGTTTGCCCCTTGATTGTCCCAACGTCCTTCTCCCTGCTCCCCCAGAGTTGACTGCCCAGTCAGCTCTGCCCCTGAAAGAATCAAGTTTATGTATAATTTGTACCATCCCTAAAAGTATAATTTATTTGTAAAACAAGTATCCTCTGAGCAGCCACCTCTGACACAGGCGTTCATTTGCAGGGCTCAGCTTTCGAAACACATTACAACCTATAACCATTAAGGACAGGAAACAGGAACCAGTAAGAAATACACTCTGAGAGCAAATTTTCCAGGCGGTCTAAGACATAAACCCAGGGGAGGACCCTTCTCCAAATCGCACACCCCTGTGCCCTACACACATCCCATCCCCTTACCTGGAAAACCTGGTCCTGTGCCTTTCTCTCACTTGGCAGGAGCTGCTTTTGCAGGATTTTGAGAAAGAGGAGCAGAGAGGAAGTGAGGGGCGGAGCTGTCCAAAGTGGCTTGCGCATGAGACCTGCCCCCTGTGTGGGCCAGCAGACTACCAGAACTTTCCGCAGTGATGGGACTGTCCTGTGTTGTCCAGTATGGGAACCATTCGTCACAGGTGGACGCTGAGCCCTTAAAGTGTGACCAGTATGATCACAAAACTGACTGGTTTTATTCCATTTTAACACTGAAGCTAAATAGCTCCCTCTGCCTGGCAGCTACATGCTGGACCCCACAGACTCGACATGCTATGTTCATGCTGTGTAATTCTGGAAGAAACTGCTGGGTCAGAATAAGAATGTTGCTTGCTCTTCCAAAAGACCCCTGAGTCCCTGGACCTGCTGCTTAGCACAATTAAGGCCTCCTGGGCCAGCCCGTGGCATGGCAGCAAAGGTGAATAGATTCTACGTGGACGACCACTCTTGAGTCCTGGGTGCCTGCCTTTTCTCAGCAGCTTATATGTATATATATAATAATTTTCTTTTTTATTAAAAATTTTTAAATTTATTTTATATTCATCCACATGCATCATCACCGCATACAAAACATTTCTCTTTCAAAACAGCTGACCAAATAACTGTAGTAGTTGATCAGACTAACCTACTCCAGGATCAACTGGACTCCTTAGACCGCCTTGCAACAGTCCAAGGAGAAGCATGTGCTCACCTTTAAAAAAAAGAAAAAATGCAGTGGAATGGGGTTGAGGCACTCACTGATCTCCCTCTTGGCCAACCGTGGTTTGAGTCCTGGACCTGATGGCTTATCGCAAACTTTAAAATAATAATAATAAATTAATTAATTCTTGAATAAAATGCTGCATATACATTAACAGATCAGGACAAATTCCACCAAAACCTCAATAACATTTTGAAAAAGGACAATAATCTTCATGAGGAGGGTGTCAAAGAAGAATTCACTTGGTAGGATTTTAAAACTAATATCTGGTCTTGGCTTTTCTGGTTAATCTCCTTTCTCAGTGTGCTAACAGTTCTCTTCTTCCTCCTCATCTTTGGACTTTACCTTCTCTATTTTATAATAGCCTTTTTTATTATTATTCAAAAAAATGCCCAGGGGCCAGCAGGTGATGTGATGGATAATGTCCTGGACTGCCACATGGCCTACTGCAGTTTGAGCCCTTAGTCTGGCACCTTGAGGATCATACCAGGCACAAATGCATGTGTACCTAGAGTCCCCAGAGGAAGATGGAGAAGGGGCTGTGACATGGTCATCCTCCTCATTGGAGTGATTACTCACTTGCCCTCTCTCTGTCTATCTCCAGTGAGGACACGTGTGCCATGGAGCGGGGGGTGGGGGGAGAGTGGGAGTCTAAACACTACGAGATGTGGTTATTATAAAACATCAGGCCAATACACTGGCCTTCCAGATGGTTCAATACCACCCTCTCTCTCTCTCTCTCTTAATGACCTAGAACCAAGTCAACAGGGCCAACCCCTTCTTTTTTCAGGAAGAGAAAAGAGATGATTCCCATTCTCAGATCCTCCAAGTCATTAAAAATAAACTTATTTCAAAACCAGAGCAGGAATTTAAAATGTTAAAAGTTTTCCAAGAACCTTAAGGATTAGAAAGGATTAACTCAGTGTCTCAGTGTCTTCCTGGCACCATATTAATTCAGTGTCTCACAGACACTTTATTTTAACTGGAAAGGCCCATCTGAAACTCCCAGATACTTCAAACATTCTTTCTTCTCCTTCCATTTTCTTCCCAGGCAAACTGGCCCCTACTTGACCTCAACAAAGATGGCAGATTTTTTATTTCCTAAGTTGCTGCCTTCAGACATGAAGACTGAGACCTTGCTGACACTGTAACATATGACTGACACTTCAGATATATGGCAAATCAAAGTGATCAGACAAGACACCAAATATATGTGAAGAAATAGAGATTGTGAAAGATCAACAGGCGTCCTGACCCAGAATCACCTGAATTAACCAATCATAAGCCCTCTCTTTTATAACCCAATGAAACCTCCTGGTCTCAACCTTCAGAGCCAATATAATTCTCCACTTTAGGCCCTTTTCCTCTATCAGAAAGTGAATAAACCTTTTTCTACTTTTTCTCTGTGTAAATTATTTTATAGCCCACAACAAAAACCACTCTAACAACCTTTGCATGAGAAATGGCTACAACAATGCCATTTTCCTGATATTAACAAAGCAAGCCAGAAAATAGTGGAAAAAAATTTTCAATGTGCTGGGGAAAAATAAAAGTGAACCTAAAATGCTAGACTCATTTAGCATTAAGGCAAGATAAACACATTTCAGACAACAAAGACTGAGAGTGCCTACCAGTAGCACAACTTCATTAAAGGAATTTCTGGACACTGAGGCAGGGCACCCCAGCTCCAGCTCCAGCTTCCCCAAGCCCAGAGACCCCTTCTCTGTTAGCAAGGACTGCCCCCAGCTCTCCAGCAGAACCCATTTCCATCTCCAGCCCCCTCGCAAAATTGCAAGTCACGACTTCTTTATTCTCTTTCATACTCTTTTCTCTTCTGTCTTATATCATCATCTCCAGCTTAACCTCCATGCACCAAGAGGGGCTAGACTGGTCTAGAATTCCATGAAATCCTGGAAGAAAATTTCTCAAATCTAGAGTGGCACTCAAGCATCCAGACATATAAGCAACTCGAGAAGATCTTCCCCAACATAGTACTGGAAGTACTAGAATATAGTACTGGAATCCTCACAAATGCGATCACAAATGAGAATAAAATAAAAAGCATTGAAACAGGAAAAGAAGAGGTGAAACTATCCCTCAGATGACATGATAGTATACATAGAAAATCCAATGGTATCCATGAAAAAATTCCTGGAGGTAATACATGAACACAGTAAAGTTGCAGGATACGAAATCAATATACAGAAATCTATAGCATTGCTATATACGAACAGCAGGCAGACTGAGATGGAACTGAAAACAGTAGTGCTATTTACCATAGCCACAAAAAGTATAAGATACTTAAGAATAAATCTAACCAAAGAGGTCAAAGACCTCCACAAGGAAAACTATGAGAAGCTAAAAAAAGAACTTGAAAATGACACGAAACAGTGAAAGGACATCCCATATTCCTAGATTGGAAGAATTAATACAATCGAAATGGCAATTCTACCCAAATTAATCTACATATTTAATGTAATCCCAGTCAAAGTGCCAGAGACATTCTTCACAGATCTAGAAAAGAAAATCATACAATTTGTCTGTAATCATAAAAGAACTCATATTGCCAAAGAGGAGTGGGGTGGATGGCATCTCACTCTCTAACCCAAAAATATACTACAAAGCTATGGTAATCAAAATAGCATGGGATTGGCACAGAAATAGACAGGTGGACCAATGGAACAGAATAGAGTCCCCAGAAGTAAACTCCCAGACATACAGCCAGCTGATCTTTGACAAAGGGTACCAGTCAGTCCCATGAGGAAAGGAAAACCTCTTTAGCAAATGGTGCTAGAAAAACTGGATATCCACCTGCAGAAAGGTGAATCTGAACCCCTACGTCTCACCTTTAACAAAAATTAACTCAAAGTGGATCAAAGATCCAAACCTAAGACCTCAAACTATAAAACTGTTGCTGGAAAACACTGGGGAAACTCTGAGAAACATAGGGGTAGACAACGACTTCTCAAACAAGACCCCCAAAGCACAATCAAAATACACAAGTGGGATTACACCAGATTAAGAAGTTTTTGCATGGCAAAAGACACAGTAATCAGTGTGAATCAACAGCCTCAGAGTGGGAAAATATTTTTGTAAACTATCCATCAGAAAAAGTACTGATAACCAGAATTCACAAGGAACTCAAGCAGCTGACCAAAAAAAGATAATGAACCCTATTAAAAGATGGGAGAATGAATTTAAAAAAAAATACTCTCTAAGGAAGACATACGAATAGCCAAAAGGCATTGAAAAAATGCTCAACATCCCTCATTGTAAGGGAGATGCAGATCAAAACCACAATGAGATACCACCTAACCCCAGTCAGAATGACTAAGATTGAAAAAAAAACAAAAAAATGATAAGTGCTGGCCGGGGTGTGGTGAAAGGGGAACTCTCCTACACTGCTGGTGAGAATATTAATTGGTCCAGCCACTCTGGAGAACAATTTGGAGATTGTTCTCCCACTCCTTGGTATCTACCCAAAGGACAGAAGAATTTTAATTGGAACAGTGCTTACACATCCATGTTTATTGCAGCGTTATTCACAATTGCTAAGACATGGAACCAATCCAAATGCCCATGAACAGATGAATGGATTGAAAAACTGTGGCACATATGCTCTATGGAATACTACTCAGCTATAAAAAATAAGACCTTGGCTTTTGACAAAAAGTGGATGAATATGGAAGATTTACTGCTGAGTGAAGCAAGCCATGCTATGAAGGAGAGACATTGTATATCTCCACTTAATATATACCTAGTGTCTGCACTCTATGGCTGAAACTGAATGACTCAAGGTTATAGAAACTTAGTAAGTGGTTGCGAATACCAGATAGAGTGTGGGAAGAGGGCAGGTGAAAGAGTAGAGCCTGAGGAAGGACATTAAGGAGAAAAATAGAGAGGCAAGGCATTCATGGGACAAAGAAATGGAGTATTATCTATTGGAGATAACTTTCTAGTATGGTGAACTGGACTGGTGAAAAATGTACACAAGCTGGAATATTCATGATGTAAGCTAAGAAACATGATTGAATATATGAAAGAAATAGAAATCAAAAGAAATTTTAAAAATTAAAAGAGATCAATAATCAGAATATATAGGGAATTTAAACAGTTTACCCACAGACAACTTTCTAAGGAAGACATAAGAATGGCCAAAATGCATATTAAAAAATATACAACATGTCTTATAAGGGAAATGCCAATCAAAACCACAATGAGTACCACTTAACCTCAGTCAAAATGGCTATGATTAAAAACATAAAGAACTACATATAGCGATTGTCTGCACGCTATGGTAGAAACTGAAAGGTTAGAAGGTATAAAAGCATGGAGAGCCACTGTGGTACCAGACAGTGTGGTCCACAGGCTCGTCTTTCTCTCCAGTGTTGACAACGTCATCTTCATCTTCACTATTATTGCAGTCTCTTTGATTCAGAACTCTTTCGGCTATTTTGTGCATCAGTCA